GAGGGCACTATTGGGGTTTGAACTCAGGGCCTTATGATTGCTAGGTAGGCACTCTACCACTTGAGCTCAAGCTTAATTTTTTTTATCCTGCTCAGCAACCTAACTATCCCTCTCTTGGGCACATCTAGATACCTTTCTTCATTTTCCTTATGCTGCTTCCAAATGCAGTACCAAATGCCCTTCCCTCCTTTGGTCAATACCTAGTCTGTTAGTGGAACTTAAGGTTAAGAGCCAGTTCTACAAGCTTCTTTCACACCTTTGCAGGTAGGCTGCGTTAATGGTATAGTGGTGAGCATAGCTGCCTTCCAAACCTTTGCAGGCAGAATTGGTTACCCCTTCATTTAGTGTCTCCATGGTACCTTGAACATACTTCAACCATGGTGTCTGTATCATATTATTGTCATGTTTATCTCTTTTTACTAGACTAGATTACAAGTTCCATGAAAACTTGAGGGCACAGAAAAATCTTATAGGTTTTAATCTCCAGTGCTGATCTACCTAACATGGGTAAATTCGAAGAGGAAGAGGAGTCCATTCCTGAACATAGGAGGTATGCTACCAAAAATGTGAAAACACAAGGGAAATGAGTCAGATTTTATAAGTGAATTGTAAGTTATTATACGATGGTAAATTAATGGGCCACAGACTTATCTTTAATATATATTTCTTCTCCAAGGTCTCGCAGACTTTCTTCCTAAATTGTCAAAATCAAAACAACAACAAAACCCCAAGAAAGACTAAACAACAGAAGAACAAAACACACACACAACATACACAAACCCAACCAACAAACAACTTTTAGTTCTTGTCAAAAGCGAAGGAGACTGGTAGATCTGCCTCACCTTCTTTGCTCCATCTGTTATCAGCATATTCCAACCAGCAATTTCAATCACATCACTGGTCAGAATTCATTATTTAATTTCTGGGAAGGTGAACTAAACTTACAATAATAATAATTTGGGTACATGTTGTAGACTTACTAATCTGAATGAGTAATTTAAGTTCTGAGAACTTCACAACTAGGTAAAAGTGGTCTGAACCAAGTTAAAAGCAGCAATCACTGTAATTAAAGCAATTTAAAAATCCTCTGGGCCAAATGGTCAAATCCTAAATAAACTAATCCTTGAACTTGACTCTGAAGATGTAGTTCTCCTCTGTTACTCAAAACTACAGATCCCCAGCACCTCCCCTGCTCCCCAAACAAAAACTATTAGTTGTTTCACACATCCTTGTAAATACAGGGACTCCTCTGACATGGAAGGACAGAACAGATTCACAAAGCATGTTCTTTTTTAAATTTTACTTTATCATGTTAATCACAAAGCATGTCTAAAAACACTCCCCAAAGCTGGACGTGGTGGCACAGTCCAGCAAACCCAGCACCCAAGAGGCCAGTTTAGCTAGCCTGGGATACATAGAACCCATCTCATGGGCTGGTGAATGGCTCAAGTGGTAGGGCAACTGCCTAGCCTAGCAAGCATGAGGCCCCTGAGTTCAGACCCGAGTATTGCCTCCCCCCACCAAAAAATAAGAAAGAAAAACTCCTCAGAAACTACCTCATTAAAAAAAAAAAAAAAAACCAACAAATTTTTCAAGAGTATGTTCAAATATTTTTTTGGTAACAACAAAAAAAAACTTTTCTTTTTTATAGAAAGCATAAGAAATAAAAATGACCCTTACAAACAAAATAAGGTCTGCCTAAAACTTCTCTCAAAAAAACCCCCAAGAAACCATACCTTTTTAAAAGAAAAAGGATTGGGGGTACAGCCCAGTGGTAGAGTTCTTAATATACATGAGGCCCTGTGGTAAGAGTTCTTACTTAATATGCATGAGGCCCTGTGTCAATCCCCAGTTCTGTGCAAAAAAAAAAAACAGATGAAGAAAATAAAGCCACGTGCACTACCTATAGCCTCAAACTGAATTCTTGCCTGAATTCCACAACTTAATGTTTATAAGAAGATATTCCTTGTGAAGATGAGAAAAATTGTGTTATGATGAGAAACAGGTTCAAAGACTCCTATGGTCAAAATCTTATGAAGTATAAAAAGAAATGGTTTGCTTCCTAGAATCAAGAATGATTGATTCCATGAGAGAAAGTGGCTTCAAAACTCACAAAACTGTTAACACTGATACATGAGGCATACCAGGCTACAAACTAGCTGAGTGAGTGGTCAAGAGAACTTGCCTAGCATGTGCAAGGTTCTGAGATTGGGTACCTAGCACTATCTCAATAAATGGTAAGAAAAAAAATTTAAAATCTTAGCTGGGCATGCCTGTGGATCACTATTTCTTCCTATTGAAGGCTAAAATCAGGAAGATCACAATTCAGGGCCAGCCTGGGCAAATAGTGCCTAAGACCCCATTTCCAAATAACCAGAGTACTGGAAGTGCAGCTCAGGTGGTAGAGTGCCTGCTCTGTTAGGAGCCGAAGCCCTGAGTTCAAACCTCAAGCCACCAAAAAAAAAATTTGGGGGGGGGGGCCAGTAACCCACAATAAACAAATGTAATCATGATAATGTTTATTTACTAAGTAATTACATGCTAGCACATATATTTTGCATACATGAGGATACTAGAAGTAATTTTCCTGGTAACAGAAGACTGGGACATCTACCAGGAGACGTGTCTCAAATGGTAGAGTGCTGGAAGCATAATGTCCTGAGTTCAAACCCCAGTACTCACAAATAGTAGAGAATTAAGACTCAAGGCCCGGACCCTGCGCCCAAAAAAATGAGCTTACAAGCTGTGTTACACTGCCTCCTACAGGCAAATACAGGCTGCAGGGCAACAATAAAAAAAATGACTGAACTTTGCTCAAAGGATTAAAATCAAGAACCTGTAATTCACATTAACAAGACAATGAAAGTTGCCAGTGGTACTTGAGATAGCAAGCTAGCCCCCAAACTAAGGTTAGAAATTAAGAGAAATGCTGAGAAATCAATTCAAAGGGGGAAATATCCAAAACTCAATCAAGGACTAATACCATAGCCTTAAGACAAACAGAACTTAGTAAATGTAACAGAACAATGTCCAAAAATAAAGTTGATGGTCTATAGATCACATTAAAGGGCAATTTCATCTGGGGGAATAAGTTATCAGCGAAGTTTCAGAGAACCAAATTGAGGAAAGGTTTTACCTAGGAAATAAATTCCACGATCCAGATATAAATGCTGTAAGAAGGATGCCCCCAAACTAAGTCTATCATAAAGTTATCCAGCTAATTCCTTCTTCCTCTGATCTCAGGTTCTCTTAAGCAGCTATAATTTGCATTCCCATTCAGATTTGCCCACAGTAATAGACTGCTGGTGAGAATAACTGGCCCACTGCAGATTATGACAATTCATTATAATTGTCTTTATAGATTTTTCTAAATACCAACCTACTATTTGGAAAAATCAAGCTTTCGTTTTCACAAGTTGCACACTTCCATCATCTTCCTTAAAATAACTTCAGGCATACATTACTTAACCCTTTAGAATCTGAGACACCTCTTCTGCTGACGGAAGCAAACATAAATACCTTTTATAATACAGTAAACGTGTTTGGCACAAAGAAAAAAAAATGTTATTTCTCGCTGCAACACTAGTAATTGCAGAAAGCTGAGATGTGAACTCAGATTTACTCAAAACCCATTCTTTTTCCATTACGACACTCCTTATAGGCGGTTCTCGTCTCAGTTGCCACCAAGGACTTAAAGACAATTTACTTAACCTTTCTGGGTTTTGTAATATTTAAGTGACCTTCCTTCTATGGTTCAGGCAACAAAAATTTGTGCAAATAAAAGCAAAACAAAAACTATTGCATTTCCACTAAGAAAAAATAACCCAATGCTTTAAAGTTAAAGCCCTAACTTCTAAGTAACTGTTGTGCTCTGTGGGGTTACTGGTGTGCCTAATTAACTCAGAATCGCTTCCATAAACAGCACAGCAAGAAACTAATGCCTGAGCACTGGCTTTCTAAAATCAGTGACTGGCTACCAATGCAAAAGAATGAATTCCATGCACCGCCACAGGTTGTCTAAATCATAAAAAAGGAGGGCTGATCAACATCTGGGCTTAAAAGGGCCATCAAAATATTAGGCTACTACCTTTCCACTAGGAATGTTAAACCCCACAGCACAGGCTACTTGTTTTTAACTAAGCACAGATGGTTTTCAAGGAGTTTGGTAAATAAATTCCCTACCATTTCAAATCAACTACTTGGTACAAATAACTTCACATTAACCATTTCCAATACTAAGCTTAAGGTACTCCCTGCAAACTACTTGCGAGAAGGCTTTTCAAAGGGGAGAATATAGAAAAATCTCAGAACAGAAGTTCAGGTAGAAGTAAACACAAGTGAAAAGTACGTTAACTTTACCAAAAGCCAAGCCTTGGTAAGAAGGCTCAACAAGTTCAACAGAGACGAATTTAGTAAAATTATTCACAAGAGAAAGGAGTGTTACTCAAATAGCTTCCTGCACATTTCCATACGGCTCTCCAGTGACCTGATGTAAGGTTTTTTGGGTGCGTGTTTTCCTGCCTGCAGTAGCATCAAAGCTTAAGGAAACCGTTTAATCCCTTCTTCACAAGAGTTGCCAGACGTCCTCTAGCGCGCAAAAGGTCTAGGGACACAAGACGGCTTCTCGAAAATCACAGCTGATAATTTTTGGGTTTTTGCCCCAAAGCCAATCTCCTTGGTTAAAATCGCGTAGGTTAAAACCTCACTTCAAACTTTCTGATTCAACCTGATAGGCAAATAAGTCTGAGTCATTAAAAAGAAAAAAAAAGACAAATTCCGCGCTAGGATTAGAAAATTGTCACTGCACCCCTCCCCCAACACACATACACACAAACTTTTGAAAACTTTGTTCCCAGGATTTCTGAACCCCCACGCAAAGCTCCCGCACCTCTCAGCTGCAGCGCCGCCTCTCCCCACCCAGGAAAGGGGGAGGGGGGTTGAGGCGCACAGCCCTTTCCCTGGGAAGACCCCCAAAGGCAGGAGGTAGGCTATTACCGTACCTGGGCGTTGGCTTCGTGGAGTTTGTGCTCGGTGGAGACGTGGTGCCTCAGAAGCAGGGTCTTCTTGTAGTTGCGGGTCCCCCGCGAAAGCTCGTCGTGCCCCGAGGCGGGGAGATCCGCGCCGGCCCCGTCCTCGGGGGGCTTCTGGCACCAGCCGCAGAACATGAGGCCGGTCTCCTTGGAATAGCGCAGCCAGGGGAAGTCCTTGAGCCAGGAGGGCTGGAAGGAGCACTGGAGCTTCTGCAGGAGGGACTTGGGCCGCGCGAGCGGGAAGTGCTGGACAGCCTCTCCTTCGCCAGCTCCCACACCGCTGCCCTCCGCGTCGTCCCCGCCATCGCCGCCCGACCGCCTGCTGCTGCCGCAGCTGCCGCCTTCCGCCCCGCTGCCGTCGCCCAGGCTCGCCCCCTCCTCCTCGTCCTCGGTGCTGTCGCTCAGGGACGCGCCGTCCGGCATCAAGTCCTTCCCCTCCAGCGCGTCCAGCTCCAGATCCACGGGCGCAGGCCCTCGCCCATTGAAATGCCTCAGGGGCCACGCCGAGGTCTCGGGCCGGCCGCGGCTACTGCTGCCATTGTTGCCGAGACCCCCGCCGCCGCCACCGCCTCGGAAGGCCAGAGTCCGACGGTTCCTTTCCGCTAGCAGGGGGCCCCCCACGCCACCGCCGCCCAGCGAGGTGGGGCCGCCCGCGTCTTGGGGGAGCAGCAACTCCTTGGCTTCCTCGGCGGCGGCACTGGCCACCCCAGCCGCGGCCTCCAAGTCTTGGGGCTCCAGGCCCTCCAATTCCATTTCCTCGTCGGCCCCCCGCCCATTGGGCTGCTGGAGCGCGGGCGGCGCCGGCGGCTGTCTTGGCTGCGGCTGCTGAGACCAAGCCGAGGCCTCCCCGCCAGCGTTATTGTTCGTGGAGCCGCCGCTGCCGCCGCTGGCAGTGACCAACCCGCCTCCTCGGAACGCCAGCGTCCTGCGGTTCATTTCACTGAACGACATGGCGCGCGCCGCCGCCGCCGCCGCCGCCGCCCGGTGCCCCGGCTCGCGCCCGGCCTCGGGCCGCGTCCCGCGCGCTCCCCGCGGCTCCCCCTCCGCCTCGCCCCCGCCCCCGGCGTTCGGGTCTCGCGGGGCTCGGCCTCACCCTCGCTCCCGGGGCTGCCGCACGCGCCCGCGGCCGCCGGGCCGCTGCCTCCGGCCGCTCTTCTTCTTCGTCGTCCTCGTCCTCCTCCACCCCCGCCCCGCCGCGTTCGGGGCAGCGTCCCGCGCGGAGAAGGGCGGGCGGCGGAGCGGTGAGCGGCCGGAGCCCGCGGCGCGTGGGGGCCTTCGAAGTTGAGAGGCGGAGTGCGGGGAGCCCCTCCGCTACCCCCTCTTTTTAAAGCCGAGCGCACACGCCGACCGATAGCCAACTGATATCCTTCCTCCGGCGCACCGAGGAGTCCCGACGCCGCCGCCGGCTTCCGAGGCGCTGAGGGCGACGGACGCGTTAAACTGCCGGGCTCCGCCACATAACGAACCGACAATAAAGCCGGCGGAGCGTTTCCGTCCGACCAGGCCCTGGCGGAGGTCGAATGGCAAATGAACAACGGACCGTGCGCCCACAATGCACCGGGGTAGCAGTAACCGCTGGAGGGGGAAAGGGTGGGGGCCGGCTGGGGGAGGGGGGCTGGGCTTGGGGCTGGGCTGGGGTGGGGTGGGGGCGCCAGGGGACCGGGAAAGGGGCCGGGCCGCGCCTCTGGCCTGGGGGCGGGGGTGCGGCCGCAGGGAAGGAAGTCGGCCCCGGGGCGGGGGACAAAAGGCCGGGCGTCGGGCTGAGGGTCTGGGGAGGGGGCGGGCGTGTGCGGCCGGGGCCGGGCTACGCGGAGGACAAACAGCTGGCGAGTGTCAGGGTCCGGCCGCCTCCCCGCCGCCCGCCCGCAAGCACGCACCTACCCGCGCCCGGGACGCACATTTTTCCTTCTCTTTCTCTCTCTCTCTCTCTCTCTCTCTCTCTTTCTCTCTCTCTGCGAGTTCACCTGGGACTTTGCAAAGAACTGTGCGGTGGGAGCGGCGCTCCAGCCTTGTCTGTCATTTGCTGTGGTGGGTGGGTGGCGGTGCCCGAGGAAGTGAACTTATTTTGTTCCCTCACAAAGATAGCACAGGCGTTGCCTTTCACGCGGGGAGGTTACGGGCCGCCGACACCTCCTCGGATGCATTGTGTGCGCCGGGCAGCACCGCGGGCCCAGGGCAGCGATCATTTCACAGAAAATGCACCGCCCCGAGTGTCTTATTGCTGTGATGAAATGGAAATTTAAATAAAAGGTCGAACACGTGCGTTCACTGGGAAGTATTGACATGGGTGTTACATCACCGGCAGCCAATCAGATGGCTGCAGCCGTGTTTATACTTCTACAACCACCTTGTGAGTATTACAGTATGTCATAACGTTATAAATATTAGGCAGGGTTTTCCCCACGAGCGGGGAGGAGTCTGCTGATCCCTGCGCCGTGTGCGGCTCGAAGATCGTGCCTCAAGACAAGAGCTCATCCTTAAGGCTTAAAAAAAAAAAAACACAAAAAACTCCTTATATTGCATATGGAATTTGGAATGATTAGGAGAGCTGGAGATGAACCTCCCAGAATTATCATCTCAGTCAAAGTTTTCCAACTTAAAACTTTAAAAATTTTAATATGCTAACTGTAGCAAACTGAAGTGTTCAGATTCATTTACTAATTTGCATTGTGAGGTTTTTTTTTTTTGGTGGTATTGGAATTTGAACTCATGGCTTCATGCTTGCTATAGGCAGGTGCTCTACCACTTGAGCCACTCGGCTCGCTCAATGTGAGCCAAACCTTAAAATATTTTTGTTCAAGCCTATTTCAGGGAAATCAAAAGATGTTCTCAAGCTGTGAGAGAGCTTTTTTCCCTCCTCTTTTAAGGAATATATTTATTAGAAGTCACATCACAAACTAATATAGACCATGTTCAAAATAACTGTTGAAAAAAAGGGTATGTGTATGGTAAGGTAATTTTTTACATCAACACACATTAGGATTTTGCATAAAAAGGTGAGAAATACCCATGAACTCTTTACACTTGTAGATTACCTACTCCTACATGATATATTAGTGTAAAATTGTATGTGTTTTAAAAGAGCACATGTTAACAATTTTGGGGCCTTCTAGTTTTATTCTTATTCTGAATTTCTATTTTAAATAACAATATTTAAAGTTTTGAATCCATAATGTGAATACATTATATATTAAACTTTACAAAGAAAAATTTCCTCAGCATATTATAAACTACCATTTGTCTTTTTTTGAGACAAGGTCTCACTATGTAGCCAAAATTCTCAGTCCTCCTATCACAGCAAGCCTAGGTTCTGCCACCACTCCTGGATGTCTTAATATTTTTAAATGAGCCAAACACATGCATGCACGTCCAGACTGCTACATGGATTGTATAGATTTTTCAAAGGTACTTTCACTTAATTCAGTGTAATTTTAGTATCTGTGTAAATGAACAATGTTGTGTATCAAACAAAAACCATTAGCTCTGTTTTACAGATTAAATGTAATATCACTGTAACAAATGACACTACCACCTTCCCACAAAGACTTGGGTTTTGAGTTATTTTCCCAATAATAAGCTTATTGTCACTATCCATATTGCCACCTAACCACCAGATTATACAGGCACATATTCTGATATGGATCCTTAGATAGGTACAGTTTGTAGATTTGAGTTGTTGAAATTTTTAAGACAGGACTGTGACCTGGACCTAATTTGTACCTTGGAGAAATGAGAGAATTCTGCCAGCTGTAACTATATGTAATAGATGCCATGTATGGAAGAATACAATAATAATGCCATGCTTTATCTGTAATAAGTTTTTAAAATTTTATGCATTTTGCAAATAAATAATTATTTATTATATTCTAAAAAGATAAACTGAGGTTCATTACTTAAGATTAAGGTGAAGGAAAGTAGAAATTTTCCTGATTTTTTTTTGAGACACAGACTTGCTGTGTAGCCCAGGCTGGTCTTAAATTCACTATCCTCCTACCCTAGCCTCCCGAGTGCTGAGATTACAGGTGTGCATCACAATGCCTAGCTTAATTTTTATGTCAACTTTAAAGTACGTTTTCATTTCAAAACTGTTCATTTCAAATCTTTGCTTCCTCTCATCTTTTTCCCTTAATATTATATCACCTTATGCTAGAATCAACCAAAAGTGTTTGAATTCATAATGATGTTGTTTCAGGACTGCATTTCCTTGACATATTTCTTACCTTCTGTGGTTTTTTTGCTCTGTTTTTTGAGACAGGGTGTGTAGCCCAGGCTAGCTTCAAACTCATAATCCTCCTGCCTCCTTTGGAGTGCTGGGAATACAGGAGAGTATCACCACACCTTGCTCTTACTTTATGTTTTATAAAGTATACGTTGTCTTTTGTCAAGAATTATGTTTAAACATGAACTGATTAAGAATAAATGGCACTAAATTTAAGTAATATGTTTAAATTACTTAAAGTCTAGGATCACTAAACTAATAGCCAGACAGTAGCAGTGACAGGGATGACAGGTCTGACTTTAGCCAGAAAGAATATATTGTCCACCTCTCAAACCTGAAGGATGATTGGAAACCCTGAAGAAATCAGGAAACCCTCAAGGGAATAGTGTGGTGACTCTCTCAGAATACCCTGTAATGAGGGAACTCTGAGTAGCAAGGGGATCTCCTACTCTGTAAATGGAGTTTTTAGGAATTCCCCTACCCCATCCAGTCTCCCACTAGCAAGCAGGAATCTGTTCATCCCCTGAGCCCCTATATTTACTGATAGGGTTCTACCATGCTTAAGGGAATTCCCCCTCAAGCATACCAGGGGAACCCCTCAAGAATGGGGCATCCCCAGCTAATTTGTCCCCTAAATTTCACTTTAAGCTATGTAAAACTCCTGGAGGCAATCCTTGATAGGGCCCACCATAACTCTGTGATGGAGATCAGCTCCTGTACCTGGCTCAATGGATCTTCAGTGGTGAAACTCAACTGTCCTTTACTGCCTTGGTAGAGGTACTTTGCCTCTGTCAGCAATTTGATTCTTTGATTCTTATAGGGGTCATCCACCAGAATGAAATGCATGAGGACAAGGGACCTTATTACAACTCCCTAAACCCCCATCCTGGCATAAAGGAGGCAAACAGTAGATGTTCATTAAATAATGCACTACATCTTCCCTTACAATATATTTTGATAGACAAAACGTCTTCTGTTTCCTCTATTTTTTTTTAATCTAAGGAAAAGTCATTCTTTTGAAGGTATTGAGTTAATGTTACCATTGCATTTACACTAAAAGCAATAGTAGCTGAAGCTGTAGTGCATATCTATAATCCCAGCACTTGAGGCTGAGGCAAGAGGAAACAAGTTCCAGGCCAACCTGGGCAGTTTAGTGGGACCCTGTCTCTAAATGAACTTTAAAAAGGGCTGGGGAGGAATCTTTGCTCCCATTTCCTGCATGGGGAACAGGAAATACTTCTCTTTTTTCTCCCCCTTCCTCTCCTAATAAACATTACTGTTAACTTTTACTTAAAAAAAAAAAAAAAGGGGGGAGGGGGCTGGGAATATAGTTCAGGGGTAGAGTGTGCTTGCCTAGCATACACAAGGCCTTGGGTTCAGTTCCCAGTACAACACACACACGCACACACACACTCCCTCTCACACTATATTATTATTATTATTATTATTAGCATCGTTATCTATGTAGCTTCAGTAAATTACAAACAGTTGGCACACCTCCTTGTGAATTCAATCAAGGAATTATTATCCTCATTTAACTCATGAGGAAACCCATAGCAGACGTTAACCAGCTTGCTCCAGGTTTTTGAATGAGGCAGAAGTTAGGTCTATAAGGTTGTTGACAGGGTGCTACCCTCCTGTCTAGGGAGCTGTGAAGTAAATGTGATACACTTAACAATGTTGCAGTTGCGTGATTATCAGCTCCACCAATTGTAAACTTCCTCATTCAAATGGACTCAGAGGAGAAAAGAAAATGAAAACAAGATCACCCATTATTTCCAGCACCCAGAATTAAGCACTATTACATCACTATAGTCTTTT